GCAGCAGCAGCTCTTGCTGCTGCTGCTGCTGCTGCCCTGCTGCTACTCCCGCTGCAGCAGCAGCAGCAGATCCTGTTTCGCAAGTTTATGATGTTTTAGGGGTTTCGTCTTCATTTTGGTGGTGTTGGAGCAGTTCACTGCAGTGTACACATTCAAGCGTTCTCAAACCCTAAACCCTAAACCCTAAACCCTAAACCCTCGACAGTAAATTCTAAAGTCTCGAGGTGTATCGTGAGTCTTTTAAACCCTAAACCCTCAAAGTTGGAGGCGTCTGTTTCTGCTGTCTCCAATGCTACTCTTCAGTTGAGGCCCAAAGGCCTCGCCATCGCCTCGTAGTATACCTGCTGCTGCTGCTGCTGCTGCTGCTGCTGCTGCTGCTGCTGCTGGTGTACAACAGTCTCCTTGTCATAGGGGCAGCAGCAGCAGCAGCAGCAGGGTCAACAGCAGCAGGATCAGCAGCAGCAGCAAACCCCGGAGGCAGCCTCCTTTCGTAGATCAGGATACTGCTGCAGCATAACTCTGCCCGCTCTCTCCGCAACAGCAGCAGCAGCAGCAGCAGCAACAGCAGCAGCAACAGCAGCAGGAGCAGCAGCAGGATGGCCCCTCGTCTATTGATTCATGCAGAGCAGAAGGCTACATGGCTAGGGTGTATAGGCAGGTGTATTTGCTTCATAACAGGCGGTGCATTAGGGTTTAGCTTCGCCTGCCCTGACAAAGATACAGCATATGAGCTGTTCCCGCTGCAGTCGCAGCAGCAGTATGTACACCTCAGCAAACTGCATGCAGACAAAACAGAAGAAGACAAAACCATAGAAAAAATCAAAGACCTACATAGATTCTTTCAACAGCAGCAAGGTAAGCTACTCACATACGCTGCTGCTGCTGCGCTTGCTGCTGCTCCTGCTGCTGCTGCTGCTGCACTTGTGGGTCCTGCTGCTCTTGCTTCAGCCTCCACTGTTTCTTCTGCTGCGGCTCGTGCAGCTGCTGTTGCAGCTGCTACAGAAATTTGTTTCTTGTTTGTGTTGCTGTCAGCAGCTGCTGGGGCTTTGTAGCCGCTCTGTTTGTTGCTGCAGCAGCAGCATAATTGGTCATAGCGTCTCAGTTGCTGCTGCTGCTGCTGCTGTTTGTGGCTCTCAGGTTACCTCTACTCCCGCCTCCTCAAGCTGGACGACGGCAGCAGCAGCAGCAGCAGCAGCAGCAGCAGCAGTAGCAGCAGCAGCAGCAGCAGCAGCAGCAGCAAGCTGCCTCGTTTTATAGTGATGAGCTCTTGGTTAACACCCCAAGACTACTCAATGGCTTGGGCGAAGGCAAAGGCTGCGGGTCTCCCGCAGCAAATTGAAGGAGGAGATGATCCTGCTGCATTATATAAACGTGCTGCAGATGATTCTGAATACTCTCCTACTGCCTAAACCCTAAACCCTAAACCCTTATCTTCCTGCTGCATTATATTATATTAACCTGCTGCAGATGATTCGCTATTATTCAACCCTAAACCCTAAACCCTAAACCCTGAGAGCGGCCCGCCCGGGGTAGGGATATTGATAGACATATGAGGTTTTAGGGTTTACTGTTTAGGGTTTAGGGTTTAGGGTTTAGGGTTTAGGGGGAGGGTTTAGAGAGAGCGGGAGGAGGAGACAGGAGACAGACAAGGAGACAAAAGATAAACAGAAAGAGACAGAAGAAGAGACAGACAAAAACTAATAATAAGATAATTATTCATAGTAATCACTAATAATAATAATAACAAACAATAAAGAGACAGAGACAAATAATAATAATAATAATAATAATAATAATAATAATAATAATAAACAATGAAGAGACAGGAAGACAATTAAAATGCAGCAGCAAACAGTAAATAGACAAAAATAATATTAACGACAATCAATAAAGATAAACAAATAAACAAACAAATAAATAAATAAATAAATAAATAAATAAAGATAAATATAAAATAAAAATAAGGAGACAGCCGCCAATGCAAGGAAGAAGAGACAAAAAAAGACAGAGACAAACAAAGAGACAGACGCACGCGAAGAGACAAACAAAAACAATAAAGAGACAGACATAAACAATAAAGAGACAGACATAAACAATAAATAAAGAGACAAACAAAAACAATAAATAAAGAGACAGACAAAAACAATAAAGAGACAGACATAAACAATAAAGAGACAGACATAAACAACAAAGAGACAGACATAAACAATAAATAAAGAGACAGACAAAAGCAATAAATAAAGGGACAGACAAAAGCTATAAAAAAAGAGACAAGCATAAACAATAAAGGGACAGACAGAAGCTATAAATAAAGAGACAGACAAAAGAAATAAATGAAGAGACAAACATAAACAATAAAGAGACAGGGATAAGTAATAAGGAGACAGCTACAGAGACGAAGGAGACAAGAAACAGACAGAGATCAGCCAAGCAGATGAAAGCAGCACAAAATATATAATAAACAGAGACAAATGCAATTCAAGAAGGAGACAAAGAGAGACAGAAGAATAAGAGAGAGAAATAAATAAATAAAAAGAAGATAATAGAAGACAAAAGGAGACAGTAGATAATAAATAATATACAGAAGACAAGAGACACATATAGCAGATAAATAATAAACAAAAGAGAGACAAACAAATATATTATAGCAAAACGCCTGTGGGGTTGCTGCTGCATGTGCGGTGTATGCCCAGCCTAGTGGCTTCAGACGCAGTAGAAGCAACAGCAGCAGCAGCAGCAGCAGCAGCAGCAGCAGCAGCAATAGGAGCAGCAGCAGCAGCAGCAAGTGATGCTGCAGACACTGCAGTTAAAACGCTAGTCTTTAGGAAATGAAGTGTCTCTTGGAGGCGACCATCTCCCCACAGAAAAACTCTGCTGCAGCAGTTACAGCAGCAGCAGCAACAGCAGCCGCAAACCTGCTGCTGCTGCTGCTGCTGCTGCTGCTGCTGCTGCCTAAGTGCAGTGGCAGCCGCAACACCACCTGCTGCAAGGCTGTGCCTTGAGCAGTTACTGTACACCTGATGAAGCAGCTTGTTTACTACATGCTGCAGCTGCAGCTGCTGCTCCTGCTGGTGCTGCTGCAGATGCTCCGTTTGTTGTTGCTGCTGCTGCTTTTGTTGTTGTTGCTGCTGCTGCTGTTCGTGCGTTGCCGCGCCTGTCCGCCTGCTGCCATCTGGCAACTCAGCAGCAGCAGCAGCAGCAGCAGGAGCAGCAGCAAGAAAGAGACATCTTAGCGCTGCTGTCGCAACACTACCAGCTGCAAGCCAATGTACAGCAGCACGAAGGCAGCAAGTACAACGACTGAGCCGCAGCAGCAGCAACAGCAACAGCAACAGCAGCAGCAGCAGCACAAGAGATTGCATGTCACGCCTCCATTCTGTAAGCTGCACCCGCGGCAGCAGCAGCAGCAACAGCGCCAGAACAAACCCTATGCCCAGCAACAGCAGCAGCAGCAGACGAAGCAGCAGCAGCAGCAGCAGGGGCGGCTCTAGGAGCATCAACTCCAGTAGCATGAGCAGCAGCAGCAGCAGCAGCAACAGCAGCGCCAACAACCTACTGAACGCAGCAATCCGAAGGCGGCGTGTCTGCTTAGCTGCAGCAACCCTCTGCTCCTCTTCCTCAAGCTCGCCTAAACAGCAGCAGCAACAGCAGCAGCAGCAACAGCAGCAGCAACAACAGCAGCAGTAGCAAGACAGTATGATCATGAACAGCAGCAAGGGAAGCAAAGGCCAATGGCTAGCAGCAATAAAAGAGAAGACAGCCAACTGCAGCAACAGAGGAGACACTAAAGGAGCAGCAATTGCTGCAGCAGGGCAGAAGCAACTGCAGCAGGGAGACAGCAGCAGAGTGAGGTAGCAACGAGGTAACAGCAGCAACAGCAACCCGACGGGAGGAACTGCAGCAGCAAGACAGCAGCAGCAGCAGCAGCGCCTACGCTGTCTAATCTCCTCCTTCCTGCGGTTCTCGACAGCCTGCAGCACAGCGCAGCAGCAGCAGCAGCAGAACTGCCTGCAGCTCCCGCTGTCATCTTCTCTGGTGATGTTAGCATACTCTTGGTGCTACTGCTCCTGCTGCTGCTGCTAGTGCTGCTGCTGCTGCAACCGCATGCAGCTGCGTGTATGCACTCTACCTCCTTGAAGGCGAGACGCTCGGTAGCGTTGAGGCCGATCTTACGCAGATCTGTCTCCTGCAGCAGCAGCAGCAGCAGCAGCAGCAGCAACAGCAGCAGCATTAGCAACAGCAACGGCAACAGCAGCAAAGGAGATGCCGCATGCCAGCAAGCACACATTATAATGCAGCATGCAGCTGCAGAAGAGAAAAGGCTAGCTGCAGCAGCAGCAGCAGCAGAAGCAACAGCCACAGCAACAGCAGCAACGCCAAGCAAACGGAAGCAAGAAAAGCAGGGAGGCCAGCATCACACCAACCCCCAAAGCAGCAGCAGCAGCAGCAAGAACAGCAGCAGCGGCAAACACAACAGCAGCAATAACAACAGCAGCATCACCACCAAAAACAGCAGCAGCAGCAATAACAACAGCACCACCAACAGCAGCAGCAGCAGCAGCAACGACCGCAGCAGCAACAACAGAAGCAGCAGTAACAACAGCAGCAATAGCAACAACAGCAGCAGCATCAGCAGCATCAGCAGCAGCGACAGCAACAACAGCAACACCAGCAGCAGCAGCAGCAGCAGCAGCAGCAGCAGCAGCAGCAGATTACATCGAGTGTGAGGAAGGCCTCGTCAACGTAGATAAACCTCTTTCTATAAAATGTCTCTTGCACAGCGTGCGAAAGATCAGCAGCAACACAAAAGGCAGTTACTTCTGTCTGCTGCATGGCTGCTGCTGCTTGCTGTCTCTTCCGCTCCCCCCGCTCCTGCAGCAGCAAACACAGATGCAGCAGCAGCAGCAACAGCAGTAGCAGCAGAAAAGAAGGCTTTAGTGGGAGGAGCGTTCGCTGATTTTGCTGTTGCTGCTGCTGCTGCTGCTGCTCCTGGGGATTCTGCAACTACGCCAATGGGTGGAGCAGCTTTTGCTGCAGTTGCTGCACTTGCTGCTGCTGCTGCTGCTGCTGCAGGAAGGATGTACCTGCAGCGCAGCGCGCCTCTTTGACTCCTCCTCCTAAACAGCGCAAAACAAACAATGACTCGGGACCTTGCTTGCAGCAGCAGCAGCAACAGCAGCAGCAGCAGCGGCAGCAGCAGCCTCAGCAGCAGCAGCAAAGGTGTGCACAGGACGCATCTGCGTCCAAGCAGCAGGAGCAGCAGCCTCTGCTGCTGCAGCAGCAGCAGCAAACTAGGTGTATCTTTCACCTCCATTTGGTGTTTCCTCCTCTCAGTAATAGCAGCGGGAGTTAATCCTGAATACAAGTAAAAGATTTTGCTGCTGTTGGTGTTGTTGCTGCTGTCGATGTTGCTGCTGTTGCTGCTGCATCTTGTGCTGCTGCTGCTGCAGCGGCACATTCTACTGCTCCTGCTGCTGCTGCTGCTGCTGCTGCTGCTGCGTACCTGCCAAGTTGGGGGTGTCAAGGGAAAACCCTGCCTCCTGTAGTTGCTGCATCAGAGTGCTCAGACCCTGCAGCAGCAGCAGCAGCAGCAGCAGCATCAGCAGCAGCAGCAGCGGAGTATTCATCAGCAGGAACCGCAGTGCCAATGGCAGCAATAACAACAGCAAAAGGGAAAGCAGCAGCAGCAGCAGCAGCTGGTGGTGGTGGTGGTGCTGCTGCTGCTGCTTCTGCTGCTGTTGCATCCCTGTGGGTCTTCACCGCTACACGCGCTCGTTTCCTTGCCACCTTAGAGAAGCAGCAGCAGCAGCAGCAGCAGGAACAGCAACAGCAGCAGCACCACCACCACCACCAACAGCAGCAGCAGCAGCAGAAGCCCACCTCTTCAGCAGCAACATGCATTGGGGTATTCCCTTCTGCGTCTCTGCATTCATCGGGGTCAAACTTTTTGCTGTTTATTATTTGAACTGCAGCAGACAGCAGCCTGTTGCCAACTGCAATGTGGCTGCAGCAGCAAGCACATACACACATACTGCTGCTGCTGTTGCTGCTGCTGCTGTTGCTGTTGCTGCTGCTGCTGCCGTTGCTGTTGCTGCTGCTGCTGTTGTTGTTGTTGTTGCTGCTGCTGTGTCTGCTTCGGCTCGAAACTGTGATGAAGCACTTAGTGCAGATTGGGCTGCTGTTGCTGCTGCTGTTATTGGTGCTGCTCCTTCTGTTGTTGCTGCTGCTCCTGTTGCTGCGGTTTCAAGCTCGTTGCTGCTACATCTGTTGGCTGGGCTGCAGCAGCAACAGTCACGCGTCTTGCTAGGAGCGCTGCTACACAACTACTGGTACCTTTGGTGCTGCTGCTGCTGCTGCTGCTGCTTCTGCTGCTGCTGCTGCTGCTACGGCTACTGCTGCTGCTTCTGCTACTGCTGCTGCTACGGCTACTGCTACTGCTGCTGCTACGGCTACTGCTGCAGCTACTGGTGCTGCTGCTGCTACTGGTACTGCTACTGCTGCTTGTGCTGCTGCTACTGTTGCTGCTGCTGCTGCAGCACTGACAGCGGGGTGGCGCCTGCAGCGTCCTTAGCATTGGGGTTGGCCCCCCGCTGCAGCAGCAGCAGCGCGGTCTCCTCATTTCCCTCCTTTAGTGCTAAATGCAGCGGGGTATCTGCGTGTACACCGCAGCAGCAGCAGCAGCAGCAGCAGCAGAGGCAAATATGCTGCAGCTGCAGCCGCTGCCGTGCTAAGTAGCCAACAGCAAGAAGCCACTGCAACAGCAGCAGGAAACATGTGCGTACTATGCTGCAGCAGCAGCATCAGCAGGAGCACCAACAGCTGCAGCACCACCACCACCAGCAGCAGCACCAACCGCGGCAGCAGCACCAGCAGCAGCAGTAGCAGCAGCAACCCAAGCAGCAGCAGCAGCAGTAGCAGCAGCAGCGGCAGCAGCACCTCCACCACCACCAGCAGCAGCAGCAGCGCCACCAACAGCAGCCGCACCACCAGCAGCATCACCAACAGTAGCAGCACCATCAGCATCCGCAGCAGCAGTATCAGCAGCAACGGCAGCACCAGCAGCAGCAACAGCAGCAGCACACCTCCATAAGCATTGGTCGCTTCGCGAGGGACCCCTCGGTTGAGTAGCAGAGACACGACTTCCGTCTGACCCATCGCTGCAGCAGCAGCAACAGCAAAACCAGCAGCAATAACGCATGCAGCGCACCTACTTACAGGCAGGGCAGGCAGCAGCAGCAGCAGCAGCAGCAGCAGCAGCAGCGAAAACAGCAGCAACCTTACTGGCAGCTAAATGCAGGCCCTGCAGGCGCACAGCAACAGAAAGGCAGCAGCAGCAGCAATTCAAAAGATATAAAACCCGCATGCATCACCTGCAGCAGGAGCAGCAGCAGCAGAAGCAGCAGCAGCAGCAACAGCAGCAGCAGCAACAGAAGCGAAGCAGACTGGGGCTGCAGCAGCAGCAGCAAACGCACGTTGTTTTTTTCTTTGTCGGTTGCTTTCGGGTCGCAGCCATTAACACTCAAAACTAAGCACAGACGCAAGCAGCAGCAGAACGAGCTGCATGTACACCTCAGCCACTCGCGCAACAGCAGCGGCAAATGCTGCTGCTGCAGCAGCAGGAGCAGCACAATTCCCAGCAGCAGTAGCAGAAACAACAACAGCAGCAACAGACGCAGTATGATTCTAGGTAAAGCGCAGACGCAACGCGAGAGTAAAGAGCAGCAGCAACAGCATCCGCATCAGCAGCAGCAGCAACAACAACAAAAGCAGCAGCAGCAGCAACACAGCAGCAGCAGCAGCAGCAGCGGGCGCACTTTGCCTGACTATTGACTGTTCTCCTCGGCAACCTGAGATCGCGTGCAAGAGCGCAGTGTAGCCGTTGTCTCGCTGCAGCAAAGCAGCAGCAGCAACAGCAGCAGCAGCAGCAGCAGGCAGCAAAAATAGCAGAAGAAATAACAGCATGAGGAGGCGCCCCACTAAGAGAGACAACAGCAAGTGCAGCAGCAAAAGCAGTAGCAGCAGCAGCAAAAAATCCAGCAGCTGCACGAGTAACAGGAGCCGCAGCAGCAGCATCAGCACCTGCAGCAGCAACAATGGCAGGAGCAGCAGCAGCAGCAACAGCAGCAGCAACACGAGCGCGCAGGACCAAGGGCAGCAGAAGCAAAAGCAGCAGCAACAAGAGCAGCATCAACGAGAGCAGCACTAACGAGAGCATCAGCAACAGCAACAGCAGTAGCACGAGCAACAGCAGCAGCAAGAGCAGCAGCAACGAGAGCATCAGCAACGAGAGCAGCAGCAACGAGAGCAGCTGCAACAGCAGCAGCAGCAGCAGGAGCAGCAGCAAGAGCAGCAGCAGCAAGAGCAGCAAAGTACATCTGGAGAGTTGATGAATATTGCAGGGGACTCCAGGATGGCAGCCAGCACGAGGGGGTCTCCTTCTCGAGCAGCAACGTGCAACGCAGACACTGCAGCAGCAGCAGCAGCAGCAGCAGCATCAGCAGCAGCAATAGGACACAATGCAGCTGCTATGCTGTCTGGGGTTGCATGTGTCTCTGGGCCTCCTTTGTCGTGTGTTGATGCTTCCTTGCAGTTTCCTTGGGTGTATGCGCAGCCTATGTCATTGCTGCTGCTGCTGCTGCTGCTCTCGCGCTGCTGCTGCTGCTGCTGCTAGGTATCTCACAGCCCTTCTTGGTAACAGCAGAGGGGTCCGCGCCCTCCTCGAGCAGCCGCCTCACGGCCTCTTCATCGCCACGCAACACAGCCTTCACCAGAGCCTCCGCCATCCTAGGGTTTAGGGTTTAGGGTTTAGGGTTTAGGGTTTAGGGTTTAGGGACTGCAGCGGAATGCTACGCTTCACTGCGAAGCTCCGCTAACGCCGACCCAATAAAAACAAAAACAACACAAAATTTAATCAAGAAGGAAAGTCATAACTCGGGGTTTAGAATTCTGGGTTTAGGGTTTAGGGTTTAGGGTTTAGGGTTTAGGGTTTAGGGTTTTGGGTTTAGGGCCCCGCCTCCGACAGGCGGATCGGCTGATCCTGCTCTCGCGTATTGTACTCCGAAGGCCTCAGTAAAAATGAAAACTTCTTTGTTAATTTAGCCTTAATATTTGTGTTACAGTGTACACAAACCCTAAACCCTAAACCCTAAACCCTAAACCCTAAGTCTCCTGGAAGTCACCAGTAGTGGGACAGCTTCGTCTCAGATGCGGCGAGAGCGAAGGTTTAGGGTTTACAGAATCTTGTCTTGTTTTTATTCATTATGAGGAGGTTTAGCTTCCTCATGGCTTAGCAAGGGTTTAGGGTTTAGGGTTTAGGGTTTAGGGTGCTGGGGGCTCTGGGCCGATGGCCTATACCATACACACAAATCTAGTGTTGATGTTTTATGCTTAATTTAAAGATATCTGCATTAAGACCAACAGCAGCAAGAGCAGCAGCAGCACCACTACCCGCTGCAGCAGCAACAGCAGCAACATCATCAACAGCAGCAATATCTGTAGCCGGTGTAGCAGCGACAGCAGTAACAGCTGCAGCAGCTGCAGCTGCAGCAGCAAAACTCGCAGCAGCAAGAGATGCCTTGATGCTAGCGTTAAGCTGCCTTAGTTAGGCCTTTAATCTTCAGAAGCTTTCCTAGGTAGTAGTGTAGGGTTTAGGGTTTAGGGTTTAGGGTTTAGGGTTTGCAGGCTGCTATCAGGAGAGCCTAGAGTGCTGTGTACACCTATTGCAACGACCAAAACGGTTTGTTGCGGTTGTTGCTGCTGTTATTGCTGCTGCTGCTGCTGCTGCTGTGCAGCCTGGATCAGCAGCAGCAGCAGCATCACCAGCTAGCTGTCTCCTTCTCTTGCTGCTGTTTCCGCAGCAGCAAGAATGTCTCTGTGTCGCATGCAAGTTGCTGCTGCTGCATCAAAGGAGCTGCTGCAAGCTAGGGGTTCAACATAAATACTGCAGCAGCAGCAGCAGCAGCAGCAGCGGAGGAGACACTCTAGCTAGAAAAAAGAAGTTAACGAGGACAGACAAAGAGAGAAAAAAATAGAGACAAGTTCAAGCAAATAAACATCATCGCAGTTGCATGCATACACCTGAGAGTATGTATGAATATTAATTTGTGTGTTAATTTATTTTATTTTTATTTGTCCTTTGCGTTGTTTAAAGAAGAAGAAAATAAAGAACATTTATTTATTTGTCTCCTCTACACCAATTGTTTGCTTTGTTTTAGGTGTATGTACACCTGAACGATTCTTTTGAGACATCACCCGCCACAAGTCCTCCGCTTCATCTAACAAACTACCTGCATATACACCCGAAACATAAACACCAAATACAGACCAATCTTAAAATATTTACATAGTGCAAGCAAAGAAAGAGAGACAAAGAGACAGAGAGAGACAGAGACAGAGAGAGAGAGAGAGAGACAGAGCGAGGGACAGAGAGAGAGAGAGAGAGACAGAGAGAGGGACAGAGAGAGAGAGAGAGACAGAGAGAGAGAGAGACAGAGAGAGACAGAGAGACACAGAGAGAGATAAGGAGAGAGAGCAGAGACAGAAAACCAGATAAACAACAGAAAGAAACAAAAGAAGCAGAGAAAGACAAAGGAGACAGAGAAAAGAAAGAGAGACACAAAACAAAAGCAAAAAAAACAGAGACAGAAAAAGATAAAGAAAAAGAGAAAGGAGACGGAGACACAGAGAAGAGACAGAGACACAAAAGGTAAGAACAACGAGACAGAGACAAAGAGACAAAGATAAGAAGAAGGAGACAGAGACAAAGAGACAAAGATAAGAACAAAGGGACAGAGACAAAGAGACAAAGATAAGAAGGAGACAGAGACAAACAAAGAAGATAAAACACTGAAGTAAACAGAGACAGAAACAACAATCCAACAAACTAAGCCGAGACAAACATTGCTAAAAAAACAAACAAACAAATAAACAAGCAACCAAAAAAAGCTGCTGCTGCTGCTGCTGCTGCTGCTGCTGCTGCTGCTGCTACCTAAGTGGTTTTTGAGAGCCTCCTGCCAGACAGCGACATCGTGGGGGTTGAGGTCGAGGGTTTCAAAGAGTTGAGAGAAAAGGAGCTGTTCTTCTGCTAATTCATTCAAGTTGTCTCTATCTCTGGGATCGTGCCTGGGATCGTGTCTGGGATCGTGTCTGGGATCGTCTCCGGGATCGCGTGTGGGGTCGTCTCCAGGATCGTCTCCAGGGTGGAAATAGTCCCCTTCGGAGTCCGTCGTTATTGCGTCGGACTCGTCTGCTTCATTTATTTTCCTTTTGCTTTGCTGCTGCTCTGCTGCTGTGGCTCTTGCTGCTGCTGCTGCTGCTGCTGCTGCTGTTGCTTTCTTGTCTCCTCCTCCTTCTGGTTCCTTGACTGAGGAGTTGAACAGCTGCTGCTGTTTTTGCTGCTGCTGTTGTTTAGGAGTTGTATTTGGTTTACTTTGCGTAAGGAGGGCGAGCAGCTTTTGCTGCGCTTGGGTTGGCTGCTGCTGCAGCAGCCGCAGCAGCAAATCTGCTGCTAGCTGAGCTAAAGCAAATAGATATACCCCAAATGGAGATGTATGAAAATGCATTACTAAGGCCCACGTGCGGTGGATCGGCCCAAAAGAGTCAAACAGCGAACCCCCAGCACCGAACATTTCTCTGAAAAAAGCAAAACACAGAAATAAACATAAAAACAAACAAATTTATGCTGGCGTCTTTATTGTTTTTGCTTCTGTTTATGTTTATGTTTATGTTTATGTTGTTTTGTGTTTATGTGTACGTTTATCTTTCTCTATAATTACATATATTTTTCTTGAAAGCAAACATACAGATAAACAAACGCAAAAAGAAGCATAAGCACAAACTTAAACATTACTCATTATCTTTATTTCTTCTCCTATTCACTCCGCCAAAATCCTGCGGTGTCAGCAATCTCCACCCGCTAGCTAGCTAGCTGGCTAGCTAGCCAGTTAGCTAGCTAGCCTATATATAGTTGGGGGGATCAGGGGCTAACTGGCTAGCTAGCTAGCTGGCTAGCTAGCTAGTTAGCTAGCTAGCTAGTTAGCTATCCAGCTAGCTGGCTAGCTAACTAGCTAACTAGCTATTAGCCTCCGCTCCCCCTAGCAATTGGGATACAGCCCCAACAGCGCCCAGGCCCTCGTCCCTCTCATCCATTTTCTGCGTTCCCTCGTCAGCTAGCTAGCTAGCTAGCTAGCTAGCTAAACGGTCAACTACCTGCACTCTATCTGTCGGTTCTTACGCTCTATGCCCCTCTAGTTAGATAGCTAGCTAGCTAGCTAGCTAGCTAGCTAGCTAGAGATGGCGAGCTAGCTAGCTAGCTAACAGCTAGCCTGTTTGCCTCCTATGTTGGTTTGCTGCTGTGCAGTCTAGCTAGCCCAGGGCTCTCTGTCTTGCTGCTGCTGCTGCTTCTCCTGTCTCCCTTGTCTCTTCTTCTGTCTGTCTCCTTTGTTGTGTCTCCTTTCTTGCTGAACTAACACCATAAGCCCTTTGACCGCAGTTTGCTGCCCTTTCAGGTACTGCAGCAGCAACAGCAGCAGCAGCAGCAGCAACTGCTGCTGCTGCTGCTGCTGCTGCAGCTACTCACTGGGTTGCCTGTAGCCAGAGCTCCCCCAGCTGCTCTGGAAACAAAAGACCTTCTTCGCGAGCCTCATGAACCAACTCCTGTCGAACCCCACAAAGCCAACAAGGGTTTAGGGTTTAGGGTTTAGGGTTAGGGTTTAGGGTTTAGGGTTTAGAATTTAGGCATACCTCGAATCGGTCATATGATACTTGTCTGAGTATGGAGTTCACGGCATTATCAAGTTCGCCCATTACCTACAAACAAACCCTAAACCCTAAACCCTAAACCCTAAACCCTAGAAGAGCTCTGTAGCGAGCGAGATAGAGCTTGAACGAACAAACAAACAAACAAACAAACAAACAAACAAACGAACAAACAAACAAACAAATAAACAGACAAACAAACAAACACAGTTTACCTGTGCGAGTCTGTCTGCATTATTTGTAGCGTTTAATCGTAATTGTTTATTTGCTATTATTTCTCCTAGACGTGCAAATGTCTCGCCAACTGCAGGGGGTGGTCCCCAGCTTAAAATACCGAGAGGAGCTCGAAGAGACAGTAAGCATGCGTAAGCTAAAGATAGACAAGAAAAAATAAACAAAACAAAAGAATATATAGAGAAGAACGTAGTTAATATGCAGTGTATTATTTAGGATTATATTTTATATAATATATTTAATTAATAATACACACATATAATACACAAACAAACAAATAATAATAAACCCTAAACCCTAAACCCTAAACCCTAAACACAAACAATAAACAACAAACAATAAACAACAAACAAGACAGAAGAAATTAAGAAAATGCATACTGCGCAATAAACAATAAAACGTACACTGTAAATAACAAAAACAAATGTTATAAAATAAATAATGAAGGATAAATAAATAACAATTGATAAACAATAAATAAATAATAAATAATAATACATAATAAATAAAAAACAAAGTCTCGGCTATAAGCAATAAACCCTATACCGGATGCCGCACCCCCTAAACCCTAAATAAACCCTAAACCCTAAACCCTAGAACTTAATCCCTAAACCCTAGACCCTAGAACATAAACCCTAAACCCTAAACCCTAGCACTTAAACCCCAAACCCTAACCCTAAAAGTAGAGGGACACAGAAGAACAGCCCAGCATCAATCCTTGCTTTAAAACCCTAAACCCCAACGCATGAAACCCTAAACCCTAAACAAAACGACAACTCCCTAAACCGTATACCCTAAACCCTAAACACCCTAAATAAGCCCTAAACCGTAAACCCTAAAGCCTAGACTCTAAACCCTAATCATGGATGGGGCTCGAGAAGGCCTTCAGCAAAACAACGCCACAGCACAAACGCTGATACAAACCCTAAACCCTAAACTCTAAACCCTAAACACAATGCGGTAGATAGAAAGAGACAAAAGGAGACACCTGATGGAGGTGAGGATACACCTAAAGATATATTAAAACAACAGCAGTGGGCAGGAGGAGACAAATGCAAACAAAGACAGAAAAAAGGGTGAAGCCCAGCATCATGCATACACTCCAACGTGCATACACCGCAAGAGATAAAGAAACAACAAAGAGAGACAGCTACAAACAAACAACACCCCTGCAGCAAACCCTCTTTAATCTGTCATCTGCAGTTTCTCAAACGGAGACAGCAGACAAACAACACGAAGGATATTGATGCGGGTGCGCTTCGCTCTCTAGGGTTTGTTAGGGTTTGTTAGGGCTTGCTAGGGTTTGCTAGGGTTTGTTAGGGTTTGTTAGGGTTTGCTAGGGTTTGCTAGGGTTTGCTAGGGTTTGCTAGGGTTTGCTAGGGTTTGGCAGCAAGCTAGGGCTTCAGCGTTTACCCTCTAGCTTATACGCTCTACGGTGTTAGAAATAATGCTTGGAGATTAGGGTTTAGAGCGTGAGGGCTAGCTTTAGGGTTTAGGGTTTAGATAGCATCTTACCAGCTTCTCTGCCTAGTGCAACAATATGCATACATGCCCCAGTAAAAGAGAGAAAAAGGTGTAGGGTTTAGGGTCTAGGGTTTAGGGTTTAGGGTTTCGATACGATCTAACCCGCTTCCCTGCCTAGTGCAAGCACATCCTTGCAATCCCTAGTAAAAGAGAGAAAAACGTGTAGGGTTTAGGGTTTAGGGTTTAGGGTTTCGATGCGATCTAGCCCGCTTCCCTGGCTAGTGAGAGCACATCTTTGCATGCCCTAGTAAGAGGGAGAAGAACGTGTAGGGTTTAGGGTTTAGGGTTTAGGGTTGAGGGTTTAGGGTTTAGGGTTTAGGGTTTCGATACGATCTAACCCGCTTCTCTGGCTAGTGCAAGCACATCTTTGCGTGCCCTAGTAAGATGGAGAGATGAACGTGTAGGGTTTAAGGTTTAGGGTTTAGGGTTTCGGGTTTAGGGTTTCGACACGATCTAACCCGCTTCTCTGGCTAGTGCAAGCACATTTTTGCATGCCCTAGTAAGAGGGAGAAGAGTGTGTAGGGTTTAGGGTTTAGGGTTTAGGGTTTCGGTAGGATCTAACCCGCTTCTCTGGCTAGTGCAAGCACATCTTTGCGCGATCCTGTGAAAGAGAGAAGAATGAAAGGCCCTGTCTGAGGGGTTGCTAATCTTGTATAGTTTCCTGTACGTTTGCCTGCTGTTGCTGCTGCATCAATCCTTTGCTGCTGCAGCAGCAGTTCAAACTTGGACGAGCAAAAGGGCAGCAAAGCAGCAAACCCTTTCTTCACCAAAGACACTGCAGAAGCCCAGGTGTATGTACACCCCACATCCGATAAAGACACGGGAGCGAGCCGATCCCAGAAGTTAAACGACTGAACGCATTTTATTTTGTTCATTCGCAAACAAACAAACAAACAAACAAACAAAACAAAACAAGACATATATGTACGTGTATATATATACATATTTATTTATTTATTTATTTATTTTTATATATTTATATATTCATATATATATATATGTTTATATATATATTTATATATGCACCCTTACTACTTGTATTTATTTATTCGTATCTATTTATATTCCTTCACGCATTTGTTTACATGTACATATATGTATATATATATTATATATATATATATGCGTATACATAAATATATATATATATATATATTTGTATATATACATGCATATGTGCATTATCTGTTTGTTTACATGTTCACATGTAATATATATTCTTATATATTCATTTCTCTATATATAACAGTAACAGTATAAGCACACGCATATATTTATATATATATATATATGTTGATATACATGACATTTATATATACATATATTTATACTTATATATATATATATACATGACATATATATACACATATATTTATATATATATATATATATATACATGACATATATATATATATATATACAAGTGGATTCATATATATTTGTATATTTTTATTGGTTTTCATGTAC